TGTTATGAGAATCAAGAATATCCTCTCTCAAGCTCTCAAATGATCCATCTTCTCATTCAGAGACAGACTGATTGTCTATTATTTTCAAGGACAAACAGAATAAGACAACTTTTTTTGTAGTGCTACAGCTAATGATTCTTTTCCCAATCGATTAATAAAATGTCAGAAAATCATGAAAATCATCTATTACAATTTCCCAGAGCCCAAGCTGACCTGTTGTAATTACTTGACCTACAGTTCAAAACAGAAAGATAATCATTTAACTATAATAAGAAACTAAATCCTGCAAGTGTTCATGTTGAAAATAGTGAAATTATTACCTTTTGTTTGCTTAAAATGTTACTTAAAATAATCACTACAGTCCAATTTTCAGTCTATCAACTAATTGATTAATTGCTTCAACTTTCATTTTGAGTTATCTTTGTGGTGTGGCTCTATGGATCACATTGTTGTTCTGTTTTTTGATCGGTTCAGCACTTCTAGTCAGTGCAGACTGAAATATCTGAACAACTCTTGGACTAGACTTTGATGATCCCTTGACTTTTCATCTAGCTCCATCCATCATCAGGTCAAAATTGTAATTGTCCAATACTTTGGTTTATGACCAAACACCTGCAAAACCAGGAAAGACTTTGGCTAAGCAAATGCCAACACTACTTTGTAGTTTGTGCTAAGTTACTAATGTTAGCATGCAAACACACTAAACTGAGATGGTGAATATTGTGAAGATTGCACCAGCTTAGCATCAGTAGGCCTATGCTAGCATTGTCATTGTGAGCATGTTCGCATGCTGATGTTAGCATTTAGCTCACAGAGCTGTTATAGCTATACATTTTTTTTTCTTGCATCAAAGATACTTGTATCTTATTTTTGTAGTTATATTTCTACACACAGTTGCACTTGTAACCGCAGACTACTCTCTGTCAATTCAAGAGGAAAATTATAGTAGCCTGTTAAGTTAGTTTCCTTGTAGACATAGACATATTAGCATTAATATGGTGATATTGATGATATTGATGAACTAATGTCTGTGTGCTACAAGAGAGCTCTTTGATTGGTTACTCTCAATTTAATATTATTCGAACGTTAATATCTTCCCATGCAGTCAGTCTCTATTGTATTCAAATCAAATATGTGCCTGTAAAAAATTCAATCCAATAAAATCCATCCACTTTAGTAAAAATATCAGTCCAGTCCAGACTATTTATAGGAGAGACACTTCTGTGGATTAGCAGACACTGTATGAGAATGTCCATCACATTCCCAGTAACAATGCCCTGTATCTTAGTGAACACAATACAAGGATCTCCATTCAGTATACATGGTGAATTGAACAATTCACCATGTGATTGAACAATTCACCATGTGTATTGTTCAGAAATCTGTGGAACACTATAGAGCTGTGGTTGCTGAGCTGAGATAATATCTCCTGTTTTCTCACCATCTGCTTGTTTTTGTTAGATTTTAAACTTTGTGCTGCTGGGAACCACTCTAAATGGGTCAAGGAAAAAAAGCCTATTGTTTATTTCCAAAGTCTCAAATTCCATTGAAAATGTTAGTAAAATTGATGGTTATAGTAAATTGAAAGTAACACTCATATTCTGAGGCTCTTCTTATTTTTCTGTATTGAACATGTATCAAACTGGGACACAGCTAAATGTATCACGTCAAACCATGAATTTGCTGTCTGTCTGGACCAGGAATTAATTTTGTCAAATAGCTAGATATCAGCGTTGTTTTTTTTTTCAAACTGACATGCATACTACACTACATCTACAGCACCATAACATCTGCCTATTTGTTCAGGGAAACAGCATTTGTTCTTAAAAATCCAGGGGAAAACAAAGTAAACAGTGTATGAACTGTACACACAGACACACACAGCCACAGTGGTGTGGTTGTAATCTCTGATCCACACAGCTTTAATCCTCATAAATATTGAATATCTGATGACTTTCTCACTGATGGAGCAGGACACCTGGGCGGCCCACCCTCTGCTAGCTCTACATACCCACAGGAGGGGGTTGTTCCTGACAGTGGTCCTTATCTCAGGGAAAGCATCTGAGCCAGCAAAACTGACACGACAGTAAATGCAAACACTAATGTATCTGCCGGCACATGATCCAATCATATTTTATTTTTGATGAGGTGCTTTTTATATAAATCAACTCACCACAGACATGGAAATTGAGATGCAAGGACGTACCAATTGAAAGAATTCTTGTGTGTGTGTGTGTGTGTGTGTGTGTGCGCAGGCAAGTGTGCTGTTGTATCTGTTTTTTCCTTTTACAGTCTGACTGCTGCTTGCCTAGCAGGGACCGTAATGATGGTCGTCAGCACTGGCTGGTTGCTAGGTAACAATTACCTGACTGTGCTTTGCTTGCACTGAATTACACAGTGGGTTGTGTAAATGTGTGTGTGTGTGTGTGTGTGTGTGTGTGTGTGTAGAGGAACGGAAAAATACAGCAAAATAGACTACCAACCAGTGTCTCCACTTCTGGGCAGAAAATACCGACATCAGAATCAAATTCATGGTGATGATAATATTAGCTTAGCTGTTTTTCTGAATCTGATTTACACCTTAAATTTTATTATCACCGTGCTTCAAATTTGTGTGAGACAAATCAGTAGGCAGTATCAATAGGACTATTTCTGAATTGCAGTCTCTCCGCATTCATGTTGACAAATGTATCATGGACCAGTTAGTTTAGGTTCAACATATTTTTTTGTCATCGTAGCATTAGATGATGATGTGACCACAGGGCCACACCTTGGGGACAGATACTCCTCTGCTTCAAAAGTGTTTTCACTTCCTCACCTGCTACGGTGATCTGACCATCCCTCTCCTCCTCTCAGTAGCACTTCCTGCCTCTCTCATTCTGTAAGATTTGTACGCTCAAATCTCAATCACAGCCCCAACTCTAACCTTAAAGGAATAGTTAGACATTTATTTATTGATTTTCTCGCTGAGAGATAGTAGTAGACAGTAGAAGATCGACACCACTCTAATGTCTGTATGGTAAATATACTGAAGCCAGCAGCCAGTTAGTTTAGCTTAGAAATGTTGGAAATCACATCTATATACAACTAACTTGCAACAACAAATGCATTTGAAGGAAAAGTAACTGTAATGAAATGTTGTTAATTTATATACTGGGAAATTCACAAATACATTGATACTGAACTTTCACAGTACTTGGTTAAGGTTAGAGAAAAATTGTGGCCTGATTTAATACAGAAGAAATCCATGGTTACTTTACACACAACATGTTTAATTATATTTAACCAAAACAAAACAAGTTGCCTCTGAACATAATCCAGCTATAGGGAAAACTGTTTAGTAGTAAACTAATATAATTTCTAGGAGACAGGGTTTAAAACTAAATGCATTGTTTGAATCCTGTTTCTCAATGTTAACTGTTCAGTTATCGCTTGGAAAATACTGTACAGTCAAAAAATAATTTTGAATCTTTTTATATCAAAATCCCTCTCTTTCCTCTGCTTCTAAAATGTTAAAATAGAACACAGGTCACTTCTGAAGACTGTAGTTGAGCTCTGTGTTATTCATTTCTCCTTCATCCTCCACCTCCTGATCTAAAAACGCTACTGAGGGAGGTGTGGGTGGAGGCTTAACAGTCTACAGCGCCGTATCGCTCTGTATTTGCAAAGCTGGGCGCACTGTTAATCAAATCTGAACAATTTTATCAAATCCCCCCCGGCAATTATACCCTAACCACCTAGTCTTTTTCACTCAGTCATACGTCACATTACAGAAGCTAAAGTCGCTCTACCTGCTGTTTCATTTTTAATACAAGCATCTAATAATTCCCCTCAGCACACTGACCCTGTCATTATGGAGCACAGAGCCAGGAGAGACTCCTCTGCTGTGGATCGGAGGCCGACAGGAGGCCATGGCACCTCCCCTAAGAAGTGCTTGCCAGCTCCCCCAGACATGGATGATATATTTGGAGATCATTAAATGGTCCTAAATGAGACCCTGGCGTGAGAGCAAGCTCTGACCATCTGGCCCCATTGTGAGTGCCTGAGTTCTGTTCAAACTCAGCCAGCAGCATCAGCACCTCTGATTGGGTGGATGCTGAGTAAGCCTGGGAGTTCTAGCCAATCATAGACTCTTTTAATCGATTACTGAAGCCCGCCTCAGTCTCTGTATTTCTCTAAATTAACCATCCTGTTACATACTGGGTTTCTCTGCTGTACTCACACTGAATGATTTGGTTTATTTCTTTGCAATCATCATCCAATGAAATTGATAAAAGTTGGAAATGAAATCCAGTAGGCTGAGTGTCACTTTTTCTTTTTGATTCATGTTTGAGTCAGATGGTGCTCTGTAGCAATGCTAGCAGCATGGCTCTAAGGATGGCTGTGTCCGTCGGTCAGTTTGTCCCCGACTTCAGCCCCGACTGAAATGTCTCAAAAACCATTTCATGGATTACCACAGAATTTTGTACAGGCATTTATGATGCCCAGAATATGAATATTAATGGATTTGGTGATTCACTGACTCATCCTCTAGTGCCACCAGCGGGTGGATGTTTTAGACTTTTAGTGAAATAGTGCAGCCTCTAGCATTGCTGGAGACTTGTAAAGTCTTGTTAATGATAAAATAGCTTCAGTATTGTCAAGTGTTGCTAATCGCCAAGAAAGTTTTTTCTGCATGTTGCCAGTACTCTCTTGAAGGTGAATTAGCGTTTATCTCAAAGTACTGCTGTGTCTAAACAGAATTGCTAGTATGGCTGATTCTTTATATTCATGTGCAAACACAATTTATTTACTAGAGGTCTAATGTTTTTTCAAATTGCCTAAGGAAAGTAAACATGGCCTTTCTCTTCCAGGGGCATTTTAACAATGGAAATGTCGTGACCTTTCATGACCTTCCTTTTGGTCAAGTGACAGCACGTAAACAGCAAAGAGACAACCAGGTTTTTTTTCAAGGCGAGGTTTGTTTATTTGAGCTGTTTCTGTCTGTCTGCTGTTTCCAGGTCACAAGCTCAACAAGGACCTGAAGCACTACCTGAGCTTGAGGTTTCAAAAGTCTTCGCCCGACCACGAGCTGCAGAAGACTATCCGAGCCAATCTGTATCGCCATGCTGTGCCTTGTGAGTAAAAGTGTTATGACAATGTTATGGCGAATGCTTTAATCAGGACATCTGGCTTACGAGTGGTGTCTTTAACCACTCTTTAGCATTATTTCCTCATCTTTACTACGGTGACCCACTTTCTTTTGGCTTCTTTCTTATTTGTTTCATCTCCTGTTAATCTTATTCTTCCCTTTCACTCACCCATAAATCATTCTGTTACACTTTATTTCCCTTTCATCATTTAGAAGCCTCACCATCTCCGATTCCAACAAATGAAAAACAGAAACAAACATGCATTTTCCAAGCACGGGCTCTGTAGTGTTTGTTATGTATTACAGCCCATTACAGCCACTCATGTCTTGACCGCACCAGAGCACTGTTTTTGCAGCTGTCTCACATAGCTGTGAAATATACAAAAAGCGTGGCTCGAGCCAAGCACCCAGCACCGTGCCAGACTCCACAGCTGGGCTTGATTACGTCACAAACAGTTTGATCTGCGGTTGGGTGACACAGTCCAACTCTACTCTTCCTACTGTACTCATGTCATGTTTGTGTTTGTAAAAAAACAAACTTTTTCTTAAGTTGTCATGACCACAAAGGTTGAGGCATAAAGTGCTTTAACAAAGCAGCACAGTGGATCTATTGGGGATGTGATTAAAGAGAGAGAGAGAAAGAGAGAGAGAGAGAGAGAGAGAGAGAGAGAGAGAGAGTGTGTGTGTGTGTGTGTGTGTGTGTGTGTGTGTGTGTGTGTGTGTGAGACCCCCCAAGAGAATTGTTTTGATTATCACACATATGCATCGACATGATTTAATCAGCCAAGAAAGGGATCATCATTCCTTTTTAAAACACCACTTCCCCTGTGTGGTTTTGTGTGTCTGTGTGTGTGTTCGTTTGCATGTGTTTGCATTGCAGTGCTCATTAATAAAATAGGGTTTCTAGAGTAGATTGGTGTATTATTTTTTCCCTCTCTCTTTTTCTCTTGTTCTTTGCTTTTTTTACTCTCTGCCTCTCAATCTCTGGCTGTCTGTCCTCCTCTTGCGCTCAGCCATGTGACCGGTAAATCCGCCTCTCTGAGCCTCCCCCTGTGACCTGCCTGGGATTATGATGTTCTGATATATTGAAAATAGATTCCCGCCTGATTATGTGATGAACATGTTGGGCTCTCGCAAAGATCACAGGACGATGGGGAGGCCTCCGTGTGCAGAGGATAGACAGTAATGATATTAAAGTTGAACATAGGCAAAACAAAAACGCTGAATATGTTTTCCCAGTGATGGTATTGTAAAGCCATCTGATGATGATCACGAGATGATTAAAGGGATTTTTTTCCCTTACTTTTTACTTGTTTTTCTTTTTTCCTAAAGCCTGTAAAATTCCCGAAGATGTACATATTAATAGTTACATGCTGTCTATTTTCACCTCATCTGACCATTAAAAAATCCTTAAACTAATGCTTTCACTTCCTCAGGTCTAAAACAATCTCTAAAATAAGTGAAATAGTTGACACATTCACTTAATCATGCCAAAAGCGTCAGCTCACATCCCATAACCATGCTTAGTCATAACCTGTGACAAAGGGTCACAAGTTGCATTCATTTTAAGGGTTCAGAAGCCAAAAGCTTTGGGATGTTGATTTAGACATTACTGTCAGTGAAACCCTTTGAGTCGTCCCTAACAAAGACAGGGTAATCTTTGAGCCAATGCACATCTGTTGCTCACTAATTGTTGAAGATGGATAAACATTAGAACAGTGCATGAGTAAAAAGGTGAAAACGTTATGATTAATGGACTGGTGTAAGTAATTAGATTGCAAATGTAAAGCCTTCAGTGTGCCTCAAATGAACAAGGTCATTCTGTGTAGCGTGAGTTAAGTTAGGTCTATAAACATTTAGTCAGTGAGACGTGAGATTACAGAGCAGAGGTACAATGTGCTGCTCCAGGAGTCATTTCTTTCAGAGTTTTACTCTAGTTTTCTTTCTGTTCCTCCCAACAGAAACACATCTCATTATTTTCAAATCTTTTCTGCTTCGCTGTGCTTTGCTGTGGCTGCAATGAAGTGTGTGCCCCAGTGCAATGATTTCGACTAATTCACTGACAAGAAAGTAATGACAAACATCCTCATGTGCAGGAACAAACTTTCATAGAGCTACATTAGCTCTTGGTGATTAGCAACACTCAACAGCACTGTAGCTCTTTCACCATTAACATGTCTCCAGTGATGCTAGTGGATCTGTGAGGCTGCATTTAAACACAACTGTATGCTATGTGCTAATGTTAGCATGCAGACACTCTCACGGTGACAATGCTAACATGCTGATGTTTAGCAGATATAATGTTCACCATGTTCTCCATCTTAGTTTAGCGTCTTAGCATGCAAACATTGGCTTATTAGCACCAAACACAAAGTACAGTTGAGGCTGATGGGAATGACATTAGTTTTGCACGTGTTTGGCCGTAATCCAAAGTATTGAACAAGTTGACATTTTGACCTGATGATAGCGCTACAAGAATAGCAGCAATAATTCCTGAGTTCGTCTATGAAGAAGAGATCAGAGGGAGTTTCTAAGAACAGGGATGGCAGGGATATTTCACCAGTATTTAAGTACAATTTTAAATTTTTCCATATTATGCTAATTTATAATTTGACATTATTAATCTGAATTCCAGATGGAAATATTGTAGTTTTTACTCCTCTACCTTTATACGACAGCTGTATTTACTTTGCAGATTGAGATGATAGATATAAAAGATACGATCATTTTATAAAATATGATGTATTGTTATAGGTTAAGCATATAAACACATCGTTGAGTTTTTCATCAACACTGGTCATGGTTGAAAAATTAACCACAACAAGTCAATGCAGAAATAACAAAATGTAAGATATGGTCAGTCAATGTTCCATGATGCTCTTTGTTTGAAGCATAAAACACGACAGTGTGTTGTACAGTCACCTGAGCACATCCACGCTGGAAGAATTTCCCCCAGATTATTCATTAGTTGGAAATATTCCACTTCTTCTGATTTGTATCTCAAAACAAAAGGCTCTAGTGTCTCTAGATAAGCATCATTAAATGGCAACATAATGGACTGTGCCCACTCTATGGCTGTAGTGATAAATCATTAAAAGATAAGGCTGGAGTTATTCTATATTTTTCTTATTGTCAACAAATCCTATGAAAACACCAAAGCAAACAATGTTAGTTCATCACTCAATACTTTCCGACTTCTTTACCCTGACTATGTAACTAAGCTCATTGATTCCTACTGCTGATGAAAATCTTATCACAAATATATAGTTTCATTTAAAAAAAAAAAAAAAAAAAAAAGCTGAATCATTTTTATTTCTAAAGCAGTACTGGAACATTAGCTTTTAGCAAACGTTACTCAGACAGGAGAAAATAGTGGATTTCTTGAGGACTATTTTCAGATGTGAATTTGGTGCATAAGTGAGTGTTTACAGAAGCAGGAAGGTGTATGTGGGACTGACTTAAAATAAACTTCAGTGCCCACGTTCATGGAGATAAAGGAACATGTCATCCAGAGTGCCTCATTGATGTGCTTTTGTTGGTGCACAGAGGACTAATATACGTCAAGCCTTGGCTACAGAGATAGTACATTAAGATGAACTCTTTGACAAAAATAAAACATTTGATATCACCAGACTCATCCTGTGTGAGGCTTAATAGTCACTTTTAAAATAATGTTGAAAATGTGTGTATGTCTTGAGTGTGTATTTGTCTGGTACTTTTTCTGCTAACGACGCTTAAAAAAGAACACATGGACCACAAGGCTAATGCTGGTCAGTCTAACGCTGAAATGTTTATACTCTTTGCCCCTCCTCTCTCCCTTTTGTTGGTGACCTACTATCGCTGCCACCTCCTGTTTATTGTCTCTCTCCCTCTCACACACATGCAAATATTTTCTTGGCATGACAAGGCAGAATGACAAAAGCAGTCAAATAAAAGCCACGCTTCTCAGCCCTCTGTTTCCTTTGTCTGTGTGTCTCTCGTGTCTCCTCCCCCTCTCCTGAGCACATGTGTTGCTCTCTCTCTCCGTGTTTGACTCGAACAGGTGCCTTTTCCTCCACCACCACTGGCCGAGGTGTTTTTTTTTTTTTCTCTCTCTCTCTCTTTTGGGCATGTGTGTGAATGTGGCTTTATTGGTGGAAGAGCCTAACCCCCTCCTCCTCCTGTCAACCCACCCTTCTCCCCTCTCTCCTTCATAGCCCTGCTGCTACAGATGGCCATTGTTATCATGTGCAGCAAATGTCACAATTGATAGAGAAGTCGCTCTCTCGTGGGATTCATTTTCCTCTCACGTCTACAGCTGCTGCTTGGGGATGAGGGTTATCTCGGCGTTATCCCGGCGTTTGAGCCACAGAGCAAACCAATCCTCCCTCCCCCCACCTGATCTCTCCCTCCCCTCTCCCCTCTCCTTCTCCCTCTCTCTGCTCTCTCTCTCTCTCGTTCTCTCCTCACTTCAAATCCTCCAGTGAGTGTCAGCGTCCCTGTGGTTTGGCGGTGGCTGCTGCCTTCCTCTGTCTCTCTCTGTCACACTCTAGCTGCTCCCACTGTCTCCCTGCCTCTGCTGCTCTCACCCTCCATCTCCTCCTCTCTCTCTCTCTCTGTCTCTCTCTCTCTCACTCTCTCTCTCTCTCTCTCTCTTTCTCCCTGTGTGCCTCGCTGTCCTTCACTCCTGTGCTTCCTTGTTTTCCACTCCACTGCCGATCTCGGGGAAATCATTGTTGGAGACAAATTTCTCTGTTTGCCGCTCACACAAAGAAAGGGATTACGGCTTGATTTGCTGACTCCGGGCTTGCTCTGCATCCAGGCAAGTGGCAGCTCCTTATTCTCTCCTCGTTGTCTCCTTCTTCTTTTTTCCACTCTCACTGTCATCCGCCATCCGAAGCCTGTGATGTATGCATGGCACAGAGTGTGTGTGTGTGTGTGTGTGTGTGTGTGTGTGTGTGTGTGTGTGTGTGTGTGTGTGTGTCTGTGGGGTTGATGCTGTGTATA